GCCGCATCGCCGATGTATCTGCGATGCGGCGCGATCCTCCGACCTCATCTACTCAGACCCCAGCTGGGAGGCCTAGAAACTGCGAGCAGGGCACTGACACATCTGTTCATTCATACTGCTGCTCCCAAACCAATCTTCACAACACACATCCGAACATTGATGGGTTGACCTCCCCGGTCTGGTCTTTTAGAGGCCCCCCCGTGCTGTTTGGCGCGACAAGTAAGCTGACGTGCTCAACGATAAAGTAATCTGCAAATGCGCGCGTATGCCACTGTCGCGATGTACCACAACCATGGCCTCCACCACTACCAATACTGCCACCGCTGCTGGCTTCCCGCCATCACCACTGCCGCCCTCATTTTTCACCCCTGCTCGCACGCTCAGTCTCGCTCTTTTATTTCTCCTCCGCGTCTCCCTCTCACCTTCACCCTGGGCAATTCGTACCCTCACTCTCGCCCTCACACTTTCTCCCTCGGCGTGCAGGATGTGTACTCACTCAGCCCCTGCCAGAAGAGGGGCAGCAGTGGGGGGCAGGGTCGAGGGGAAAGATTAGGGGGGAACGGCCCAGGAGGGGAAACATCGACCTGGCATCGGCGATGCCTCGCGCAGGGATCGACGATGAGCCCCCGATAGCAGAACCAACCGCACGTGCGCGTGGGCACAGTCAATAGCCCCCCCCCCTCTCTCCCTCATCCCCCTCCTCCTACTCCTCCCACTCCTCCTCCTCCTCCATCCTCCTCCTCCTCCTCCTGCTCCCCTCCCCCTCCTCCCCTTCTCCTGCTCCTGCTTCCTCCTCCTCCTCCTCCTCCTCCTCCTCCTCCTCCTCCTCCTCCTCCCCTCCTCCTCCTCCTCCTCCTCCTCTCCCCCCCTCCTCCTCCTCCCCTCCTCCTCCTCCTCCTCCTCCTCCTCCTCCTCCTCCTCCTCCTCCTCCTCCTCCCGTCGGCGATCGGTGGGCGATGAGGGGTCGGTGCGCCCCGCCCGGAGCAGATCACCCCCTCGAGACGTCGCCCAGAAGCAGACCTCTCGGCTCCCCGGCGGCCAGCACCCCTGGCGAGCTGGGCATCCCCTGGAGCGCTCTCGTCGAGGCGCGGCTGCTGCAGAGCATCCCGAGGCCGGAAGGCCGCCGAGGAGTAGCGAGAACGCCAGAAGATCGGGAGCCTCGAGCCCGAACCGCTGCCTGGCCGCCTCTGGCGTTGCCCCCCTCCCTTCCCCTAAAGCGGCCCGGTCGGAGGGGCAGGGAAGGAGGAAGGTGCACGGCCCGACATACAAGAATGGAGGAGGAGGGGAGGAGGAGGAGGAGGGGGGGGAGGAGGAGGGGGGGGAGGAGGAGGAGGAGGAGGAGGAGGAGGAGGAGGAGAGGAGGAGGAGCAGGAGGAGGAGGAGGAGGAGGAGGAGGAGGAGGAGAAGGTGGAGGAGGAGGAGGATGACAGATGAAGAACAACTCGGCCCGACATGTCGGGTGCTCAGGCGAAGGTGCGCGGCTGCGCGCTGCGCGCGCTCTCGCGCGCCCGCGCTCACTTGAAGCTGCCGCGCAGGAGGTCCTCTCTCGGGGGCGTCCAAGAAGGGGGCGCCCAAGAGGGTCTATCGCAAATCATGCCCGAGGCATGTGCGCGGACGAGGAGCGAGGGAGTGACCTGGAGGCGCACTGAAGGAAGAAACAAAGGAAGACACCGAAGAGACCGATGTGAGGGGGCCGTGAGATCTGGGGCGCATTTTATGGCCCCTGCCATGAGATCCCCCGCCGTGGTCATCGTCTCCCTGTTGTTGGACGCCTCTGACGGGCCAGCCAGGGCTTCACGGAGCCGGGCCAGGGAAGGGCCAGCTGGGGCTTCAAGGAGTCGAGGCGTACCGACACCGCTTCTCATCGTACCTCTGCCAGGGTGCGCTCTGAATAAGCATTTCGAGGCGGATCCAGCCGTGACTGCGAGGGCATCCCAGAAGGCCCAAAAAGGCGACCACGAGGGAAGGGTAGCGGTATCCGTCCCTTCTTCCTCCTGCGAATCTCAGTGCCATGACCCCTTGCGCACCTGAGCCCTGGCCCAAGGCCCGTGAGGCCGCCGAGCCCTCGCCCACCCCCCGACGTAGATTGGGTTCCTGCCCGCCCCCTGAAGAGGAAAGAAGAGGGCAAACCATTCGACGCTTGACTACGCAGGAAGGCCGCGAAAGTAGATCTCCAGGCCTTCCAAATGGGGTCGGAGGGGGCGGGGTCGGAGAACCCCGCCGCATCGCCGGTGCTTCCCACGGGCGGCTCGATGTGGAGCCCGATCTGCTTCACGTCTGAGAACACCCTACCCGTGGAGGGAACTGCCGCCACGGCAGCATGCCACAGACCCTTGGGATCATCCCCCACCCACCCCCACCCCCCCCCCCCTGGGCATCCCTCCCCTCCTCCTCCTCAGCTCTCATCCTGTTTTTCCTCATACTCCACTCACTCTCGTACTCACTCCCCCCCCTGGCCAGCGAAACACCAAGTCCCCCTTCCCTCCGCGCCCCCCTACTCCCCCTCCTTCCCGTATTTTCGTGTTTCCCATTTTCATTCCCCCCCTTCTCTTCTCCTGGTCCTACCCCCCGCACTATCAATCCTCCCCCCTTTCTACGGCCAGACTTCCGAGTCCTTTCCTACCCCCCCCCCCGACTGCTACATTTTTCAACGGCCCACAAATCCTCTTCCTCCTCTTCTACGGCCCACGACCTTCTTCTGGTCCCACTCTCCTCTTTGCCACCCCTACTCTCAAGACGACGAGTCGAGAGCGAGATGGATGCCCTGCCGCAGGCTCGGAGATGCAGCGATGCAGAGTCGGAGCAGGAGGGGCCAGGGGAAGAAGGTGGAGTAGGAGGGCGCGGAGGGAAGGGGGAAGATCAGGAAAAGGATGGAGAATCTGCACGCGCAGCGCTCGCGAGCCGCGAGCTGTCTCGATGTCAGATGTTCAGATGTCTCCGACTCCGACGCGCCGTTGCCGCCGCCGCGAGCGGAAGGAAAGGGTGAGGGGGGCGGATGGACACCCCCTCTTCCTATTCCTTTTCCTCCTCATTCTCTTCCTCATCCTCATCCTCCTCCTACTGCTCCCCCCCTCCCCCCCGCTGCCCCTCTACCCACCCCGCCCTCTGATTCGCGACAGCGGCATCGGCGCGTCGGAAATGGCGGCCTGCCCCCGCCCTCGGCGCGTCCCCTGGCCGAGGGGGCAGGGGCAGGCAGGCTGGCGGCGGCGGCGGCGGCGGGCGGGCGCGCCGGCGGGCGCTGCGGCTCATCGCGCCGCGAAGCCGCCCACGCCCGCCGCCTTGCGCGGCCGCTTCGCCGCAGGCGCGTCGTCCCACTCCATGGGGACGCGGTAGCACTTCACACCTGGGGAAGAGGTAGAGGAGGAGGAGGAGGAGGAGGAGGAGGAGGAGGAGGAGGAGGAGGTAGGAGGGAGAGAAAGGAGGAGGATGAAGGAGGAGGAGGGAGGAAGGAGGAGGAGGAGGAGGGGGAGGAGGAGGAGGAGGGGGAGGGGAGGGGGGGAGGGAGGGAGGGAGGGAGGGAAGGAGTGAGGAGGGGAAGGAGGAGGAGAGGGAGGAGGAGGAGGAGGAGGAAAAGGAGGAGGAGGGTGGAGGAGGAGGAGAATGAGAAGGAAGATGAGGAGGAGGGCGATCATTCCCTCCCTGCCTCCTCTTGCCTACTGCCTCTCTTTTCTCTCCCGCACTCCGCCTTGCTTCCCCCTCGGCGCCCACCCCCCACCCCCTC